TATATATATATATATATATATATACACACACACACATACATACATACATACATACATACATATACATATATATGAAGAGAGTGAGAAGCAAGTGAGATAAAGAAACAACCAGCTGCCGTATAACACAAAAGTAAACAAGTCAGATATCGTCCCTGTAAGTTCAGCAGAATGACTGAGGCTGCACTAGACAGAAAGGCTACATTGAGAAGAAAGGGAAATAATTGGAGAGCAAAAAAAACAAGGCTGGATGGTAGAGAATAACTAAGACAGGACATCATCTCAAAGTAGGGCTATTAGCATTCCTTATTCCCACATCCCCCCATACCAATCCCAGGTGGCTGAGGAAGGAGGGTCTGAAGATCTTTATAGCCCTTCACTTGTAGTGGGCTGGACTATTTGATCTGAATGGATTATTTGTTTTGTTCAAGCTACCAGTATGATGGATTTTTTTTTTTTAATTCTACCTCGGTAGACCAGCCATAGCAGATGTACATTTCTTAAAATGCCCATGGAAGTGTTCAGATTTCAAAGAAAGGTATTTTTAGGGCAGAAGTTATTTTTACTAGATGAGGTTCACATAGCGGTTATCATTGAATTGGCCCTGACTCATGGTGATCACATGTATATCAGAGTAGAACCTTCACATTCCTATAAATTGTGTTAGATTTAAACAGATCTACAGCAAAAAATAAATAAATAAGTGTTGTGTATCATACAAAGTGATACCTCACTTATACATAGGATTTTCAGTTACTGGTTTTTTGGAAGCTGATAACCAGGATTTTCTTCCAAGGAACCTCTGGGTAGACTTGAACTTCCAACCTTTCATTTAGCAGCTGAGTACATTAACAATTTGCACCACCCAGAGATTTCATATACAGACCAATGAATTCTATTACAGTCATTGGCTTTAATGATTTGCCTTTTGGTATGCTCACCAAAAATTTTAAAAAATCATAGAAATTAACCAAAGGATTCATAATCAAAATTATTTCTGCAAAACCATGTGATCCAGGATTCCCAAGGATATTTCCCCCATAAAATAGGAAAAGAAAGCTGTATCAAGAACATTTTTTAAGTTCTGAACTTTCAAAGATGAATTCTGGAAGGACTTGAAACCCAGCAGCATGATTTTGAATGATTCTCTTCTACGGGGAAACAAAGTCAGAGAAAAAGCTCTAACTTTCTTAAAAAGCTTTATTTTTATTTAGAGACCTTACCAAAACCAAACCCACAGCCATCAAGTCAATTCTGACTCATAGTTACCCCTACTGGGTTTTCAAGGCAGTAAATCTTCACAGAAGATTGCCCAGTGTTGCTTCTGTGAAGTGGCTGGTGGGTTTGAACCACCAACCTTCTCTTTAGTCACTGTGCTACCAGAGCTCCTTTTAGAGAACTTAGTTAATCAAATTATTCCTGAAAACCCTTTCTAAATACCAAGAAAGTAAACAAAAGAAATGTTTATACAGGTGATGTATTGGTTTTAAGTCCAATTATTGGTGGGTTTTGTTTGTTTGTTTGTTTGTTTTTTATTGTGATTTGGGTAAAGATTTACAGAGCATATTCACTTTCCATACAGTAGTTTACATATACTTTGTCTCATGACTTTGACCACAGTATACCACAATGCAACAGCTCCCCTCCCACTTCCTCCCCATAGTTACCTCTTCCCAGTGTCCATCCCTCCATGGACTCCTGCCCGCTGAGCTGTCTCCCTATGCATTGGCAGCCCTTCTTTCTCAATGATTGTTCTCTCCAAGGAGTGTATCTACCTCAGGTAAATGTTCAACTCATATGCCTGTCTTCTGTTTGGCTGGAAACCACAGGTGTGGGTTCAATTCCAGACCTGAAGGGCAGCTAGGGGCCATAGT